AGATGACATAGCCAGGAACATGTGAGCAGGCAAACAACTTGCAAGGACAGAGGGCTTAGTCTTAGAGCTTAGATAGTAAAAGACTTGGATATAAGAAAACTCCTTCCAGGGCTGGAGAGATGGCTCAGAGGTTAAGAGCATTGCCTGCTCTTCCAAAGGTCCTGAGTTCAATTCCCAGCAACCACATGGTGGCTCACAACCATCTGTAATGGGTCTGGTACCCTCTTCTGGCCTACAGTCATACACACAGACAGAATATTGTATACATAATAAATAAATAAATAAATAAATATTTTTTTTTAAAAAAAGAAAACTCCTAAACTCCTTCCATTTGCCTGTGTGCTGACAGTAGTTAGAAAGTTCTTGTAACATACTGGGATCAAAGGTGCCATTAGGTGGTCACTTGATTGGTATCTAAATTGTAATGAGGTCTTTTTTTTTTTTATAAAGATGGACAAGTGTGGGAATCTGTAAGTAGGGCATTAAGGCCTGGAGTTTTAGGGCCTCTAAAAGGCATCCCAGGACTTGGATGGCTTGCTACCCATAGCTGAAACCATGAAAACCCATAAAATGGCAGTACCAAAAGGCCTATAAGGGGACACCTCCTCTATAGGTGGGGTATAAATCAGTGGGAAACACCACTGAACCTATAGGAGAGCCCCTCTGCCCACAGGTGGGGTGCTACAGCCTGACTGGATAAGGTTGGGGTGACTTGGAAGCCACAGAGGTCAGAGGCCGCTCTGAGTGGCTTTTCATGGCAGGGGAGAAAATAAAAAGAAAAAAAAAAGAATCTGAGAAACCCTGGGCTCCCAGTAGAAGGAGGACCGACCCTGGGTCATCCAAACATGATATTTGCTAACGGAAGCAATTCAGAGATGAATGTCAGCAAAGGACTCAACCATAGTCTTAAAGATTGTCCTCCCTCTCTCCGTTTCTAGGAACACCAGAAGATTGTCAGGAGCTCAATGGGTTCGATGAGACAGTTAAGCTGACCAGAATGAGAGAAACTTACCAATTGAAACTGGTGATGTGCACAGAAATTGTGCTCAGGCAAATGGAACATGTGTCGCTGTGGAAAAAATACCCGGTTCCAGATCCTGACTCCAGAAGAGGGGCTTGGAGTCAGAGAGCCATCCAAGTCATGGCACCAATGAAATTACCTGGTGCGAGTGACAAGGAAACATGGAACACACAACAAACCTGCTTAGGAGTTTATTAGAGGGGGTGTGCACAGGCCTGGGAAGTCAGTGTGCAGAGAGAGAAAGATGGCACGTCCAACTTTTAAAACTGGCTAGCGCATTAGCACAGGGGGTTGATGTGGCTACATCATACGCAGATGACAGGGCTCACATATGTGCACAAGGGCTTAGCTGAGTCATAAGTGGATGATGTAATCCACAGCACGCGGGTCATGCGGGAGCCCTTTAACATCCTGGGGGCCATTAGGCGCTTCTGCCTGAGGGCTTGTGTGTACCTGCATGACCCCTAGAGCCTGGAAGTATCAGTCTTATGTGGCTGAAATCATACAATATGAAGGAAGAAAGGAGGAAGAGTGGGAGGGTTAATCAAAAGAATGTATGAAGAAGCCTCATGAAATCCCACTGTCTTATAAGTTAATAGTAAATATGATTTTAAAACTTTGAATAGAAGCGTCTCACCTAGGTAAATAATGCTGCTCCCAGAAACTAGGGCTAGTAAATGAAATTCTTTGTACAAGTACTGGTTATCTGTCTAGCAATTACTATCAGGTAGGCCCAGGAGGTATCCCAAACAACAAGTCATTGCCGGTGCTCTTGCTTGGTGGTTGCTGAAGACAACACTTTGGTTTCAAGATCAAGAGAGAGCAATCTTGAATTTACCAGTAATTTGTCCCAACTGGCTATCTTTCATAGGATTGTAATGTAACATAATATCCTGCTGGCCCAGTGCCAGAGGGATAGCAAGCAAACTCTACTAGCCATGAAACCTGCTGGGCTATACCTGGTCTACTGCCAAAGTTTTCACTCAGCCCCTAATCCATCCTTTAGGATACAGAAACCTTTTGTTGCCCTATGTGTATCTTGTCTTGAGAGTTTCTAAGGATACAATGCATATGCAAAACTTGATTTAGAGGAAACCTGGAAAACTGTGACACCTCATGAACCAGGTATTTGCACCTAGCACTGTGTTTTCAGAAACTCCTTTTGGTTTGTTTTGAGATAGGAAATCTTATCTAAAATGTAAATATAGGAAAGAATAAAGATGCCAAGACAAAGGGAAAGTGCTTCAGCTCACCAAGACTAAGCCCCTTGCAGCCTCAGAGGTTCATTCTCGTTTGTTTCTGAGTCTTCATTTCATGAACCTGAGTGATCCCACATACCCACACTGAGATACTTGTGACAGTGTAAGGTCATGTGAGGGCTGCTGGCAGAAAACATGTTAACAGTCTACTTAACCATGGACGCTGCATCATATAATACTAACCTACTGGGCAAAATTTGTATCCTGGTGCAACACTGTCAGAACTCCTTACTGGCATAACCAACCTGTCTCTTGATTGGATTTGAGTCCTGCTGCATAAAGAGGAAATCATGCCATGATCACAAACCAAGGCTTTGAAGTTATAGTTCCAAGGACAGAAACTACTGATGTTTCATTACTGATGGTGTTGTTAATCTGTCATCTAAATATTCATGTTTAAAATTACCACTTTGCACTACTCTCAACCTTAGTGAAAGTAGTCTCCTCCTGCAGTAGGTAGTGGGTAATGCATAGACTCTGGGGCAATTGCTGTTTCCTCATGGCTGAGAGGGTCCTATGAGTCCCCTTTACCTCCATGAGGACCTACTAGCAGTTAATGAAAGCACTATCATTTTATTGACTTGTGTGGAGCAAATACTTTTCTTCAGTAGTTCAAAATGAATTTCTTCAGGCCCTCAGGGATTTCTTTTTTGTTGTTGTTTTGCTTTTTGAGATGGTGTTTCTCTGTGTAGCCCTGGCTGTCTTGGAATTTGTACTGTGGACCAAGCTGAACTCACAAAGATCCATCTGCTTCTGCTCCACAGTGCCGAGATTAAAGGGATATACCATCAGGGCCTGAGCCCTTGAGGATTTCTAAAGTGTTTATGGTAAGCCTGTGATATCACAGTCACAGCCTATCTCTTTATAGTTTCTCACTTTCTTGTTAGTTGTAATGTTTCAGCCTAGTATAAAGATTATCAAAAGTGAACAAAAGATGAGACTTAGAGCATTGTCTTTCAGGTTTAATTTCCTTTTATGTTGGCAGTGTCAGCACTGGGTAAAGGAATTATCAAATTCAATTTATTAGGTGGGAATAATTTTCAATGAACAGAAGATATGAGGATTATATATGGTATACCTTTCTATGTTTTCTCAGAATTAGGAATTTTATGGTATACTGTACAATTAGAGGTTTTTATCACACTTTTAAAGTTATTAGATTTTTTTTTCTTACTATGATTTAATTTAATTAGTTCAAGACAGGGTCTATGTACTTCTGGCAGCCCTGGATCTCACTATGAAGACCAGGATAGCCTCAGACTCATAGAGATCTTCTTGTCTCTGCCTCTTAAATGTTGGGATTAAAGGAGTGCACCACATAGTGTCTTTATTATGAGTTCCTGAATGCAGAAATTTTTTTGTTTGTTTGTCTGTTTTTTTGAGAAAAGATTTCACTATTTAATAGCCTTGGCTGTCTTGGAACTAATTGTGTTCACTAGGCTGGACTCAAACTCACAGGTATCCACCTGCCTCTGCCTTCTGAATGCCAGGATTAAGTTTTGTGTCAACACCACCCAGCTAAGAGAAATGATTTTATTACTGTATTTTGCAGGGGCTGGAGTCAAGGTTTAGTGGCACTGGTTGCCCTTCCAGAGGGCTGGGGTTCAACTCCTACCACAAATATAGTAGCCCATAACTGTCTGTAACTCCAGTCTTGGGTTGGGTTACAAAATGCCCTTTTCTGGCATTTCCAGGCAAGCAATTAGAAAGGCAATTTTCTACGTGTGGCAAGCACGTAGAAAGGCTTGCAAAGCAACTCTTTACACATTGGGCAAAGCACCTATACACATGAAAAAAACCTTCACAATTTCTATTGCAGATTTTTTTTAAAATATAAACTTTGTAATTTCTTTGAATATTTAAAACTTCATTACAGGTTTTTCTAAGTTTCTTTTCTTTATGTTTCTATTATTGTAGTTTGTCTTTCTGGACAGACTTTCTTTATAACAACAGCCCCCAGATAATAACAAAAATTGTTATTATTAATTATGAAAGCTTGGCCTTTCACTTAGGCTTGTTCCCAACTAGTTCTTATACCTTAAAGTAACATGTTCCATAACCTGTGTTTTGCCAAGATTACTTCTCCTCCATTTTGTATGTTAGATTCCTCCCATGTCTTTTTGGCATCTGCTGCCACACCAGATTCATCCCAAGTTCCTCACTTTCCTGAGAAGTTTCACCTATTCTCTCCTACCTAGCCATTGGCCAGTCAGCTCTTTATCAAACCAAAAAGAAGGCGCTTTGGCAAAGACACATCTGCACAGTATACAAAAAATTATCCCATTGATGTAGGTGGGTCTTCTTTCTATGTGTTGCTTTCATTGGTTAACTAATAAAGAAACTGCTTGGCCTGATAGGTTCGAACATAGGTGGGTGGAGTAGACAGAACAGAATGCTGGGAAGAAGGGAAGTGAGGCAGACGCCATAGCTCTCCTCTCCGAGATGGACACAGGTTAGAATCTTCTAGGTAAGCCACCACCTCGTGGTGCTACACAGATTACTAAATATGGGTTAAAGCAAGATGTGAGAATTAGCCAATAAGAGGCTGAAACTAATGGGCCAGGCAGTGTTTAAATGAATACAATTTGTGTGTTATTTCTGGGGCTAAGCTAGCCGTGTGGGAGCCAGGCGGGAACGCAGCCCGCTGCTCCTTCTACATCCCATAGCATATTATATATACTGTTGGGATTTATAAACAGAAAATACAAAAAAATACTATGTTACATTATGCGAATGGTATTTTTCTCTCAAGTATGAACTCCCTGATGTCTTCTAAGACTTGAAAGATGAATATAGGACAAGTCACAGTCTTTACATTTGTAGGGTTTCTCTCCAGTATGAATTTTCTGATGTGCTCTGAGGTAGGAAGCCCTGATAAAAGATTTGTCACATTCCTTACAACTGTAAAGTCTCTCTCCAGAATGAATTTTTTGATGATTTTTGAGGACCCAGCATGTAGTAAAAGATTTGTCACATTCTTTACAACTATAAGGTCTCTCTCCAGTATGGACTCTCTGATGTATTCTAAGAAATGAATGGTGGATAAAGGTTTTTCCACATTCTCCACATTTGTAGGGTTTCTCTTCAGTATGAATCTTCTGATGTGCTTT